TCTTGCCAAAGAATGTCTTTTTTCTCTTGCTCTTAACAGAACCAAGGAGGAACCATGGATTACTGACTCAAAAGCATCAGATCACATGATAAGTTTTGCTCACCTATTTTACTCCCTCGCCTAAAAACCTCAAAGTCAAAATTACTGATACATCCATATTCCCTATTGCTAGAACAGAAACAATTAAAATAAATCTAAGCTTTCTCTAAATTCTATCTTACATGTTCTAAATTTCTAGGGGAGCTTCTTGTATGTTGAAAACATAACTATTGATCACAGCTTTATAATCGGATTATTATCAAATCTTATGAATTATAAAACCAAAGGTCGAAGAAAAGGATCAGAAATGCTAGTGAGATTAGAAATCTGTACCATTTTAATGATGATTCCAAACAGCGCAATCATGTCCTTACTATCAACAAAAACCTTTCAATTGCCATAAAATGGGATCAATTTTTGTTATGGCATTTTAGATTAGAACACCCCAGCTTTTCCTACAAAAAATGTATTTCCTTCAATATTTGGTAATAAAGATCTCTTTCAATGTCAAATATGCCAACTTACCGCCGAAGAGCTATCTTTAAACATAAGCTAAAAAACATTTTTCACTCGTGCATAATGACACTTTTGGTCAATCCAGATCTCAAAACCTTAACTCCAAATGAAGTTTCATTACTCTTAGTAATGATCACTATGGTGTGCGTTAGCTAAATCAGATAAAACAATTTTAAAACTTCCCAATATGATTAAAACTCAACATTCCAATGATATTCAAATTCTCCACCCTAATAAAAGTGTCAAGTATTCTAACCACAATCTAGGAATTTATTAAAATAAAAATGATATCATCCATCAAAGTTCTTGCCCAATACTCAACAAAATAAATTTGTTGAACAAAAGTATAGGCATCTCTTAAAGTGGTTCGATTTTAATAACCACTAATAACCATAAATATTATTGGTAGGCATCTCTTAAAGTGGTTCGATTTTAATAACCATAAATATTATTGAGGTGATGCTATTCTCACTAGAAGCTATCTTATAAATCAATTACTCATAAACATAGTTCAATTAAAAACTTCAATTGATGTGCTTTCAAATTGCTATGCTAATACTCACACCACTCCTAATATTCCGCTTAAAGTCTTTGACTGTGTTGCATTTGTCCACAATCATGAACCTAATTGAAATAAATTTGATCTGAGATCGTTTAATTATATCTTTTTCAAGGATTAGGCCAATAAAAAAGGTACAAATATTAATCCATTGCTTAAAGAAAAATATATGCACCCATTAATGCCACCATCTTTTCCAATAAACTCTTATTACAAAAACAAATTCCTTCACGGAAAGATATAAGAGGAAGAAATTTTAATAATAATGCCTCTAAAATTCTCCATCTCCATAATAGCACTAATCTTCATGGACGCGATGACATTGAGGTTACCAAAACTTCTCAACAGACCCCACAACTGCCTACTAAACTACATGTTAACACTTGAAATAGAATCTAGATAGAAGTGAAACCGCTCTACCACCTTAAGCATTATCATGAATCCTGATTGAACTTGATAAATTATCAACTCCTCTCATGATAGTACATGGTATCCTCTAGCATGTGGTATTGGACATCACCGTTTATTCTCCCAAAACAGAACAAAAAAATGGCTTCCAACCTCTAAAGACTGGAATTCCGAAGATGAAGGAAGAAGCCCTTAATAATCTAAGCTAGAGAGATGTTGTTGAAGAGGACATTAAAGCTCCTTAAGAAATGACAGCAGTTATTTGAAGCTTGTGGGATGCAAATAGGTCTTCAAATATCAATCGGAAGGACCTACTGAAACATATTAAGCACAGTTGGTTGCAATAATATTCACCCAAACTTAAGGGATTGACTGTTCTAAACCCTTTGCTTCTGTGGCACAAATTAACACCATTCAAGTCCTTCCAATTGCAGGTAACATAGACTACCACTTCCCCAACAAGATGTTATGAATGCATCCTTGAATGGAGACAAAAAAAAATGTCTGTATTGATCTTCCTCTAGGAATTAGTGCCTATGGAAAGACAAACTTAGATTGTGAATTAAATAAATCAATTTATGGGATCAAGAAATCAACTCAAGTTGTTTAAAAGATTCACAAAAGTTGAGAATTAAAAGTCTTTCAAATAGACTCACCCTAAACACACATTGCTCTACCAAAACAATCTTACAAGTTATGTATGTTGATGACATCATTGTAACAGAATATCATGACTTAAAACAGAAGAAAAAGCTGACAACATAATTCAAAAGCAAAGCAAATAGATTCTCCCGAACTTATTATTTCTAAGAAAAAGTATGTTAAATATCTACTACACAAATACTACAACTGTAAGCAAATCGATTGACACTCCAACTGATCCTAATATTAAATTGAGTGATGTTAATACCAAATTTCCATAAGATAAAATAAACTATCAAACATTAGTAAAAAACCGCACATACTTGACTTATATCTGACCTAATGTAGCCTTTATTATCAATTTGGTAAGTCATTCTATGCATGGCCCTCATAAAAAACACAAGTTATTAATACTAGTATTCTCAAATGCCTAAAAAGAAGCCCTAGAAGAAGATTTTTCAAGAAAGAAGAATAAAAAATTATAGAAGCACATTCTGATATGGGTTGGGTTGGATCGATAGTAAACAAATGGTCCAATTCTAGAAGTTGAACATATGTGTGGGATAACCCTGTAACATGGATAAGTAAAGAAAGAAATTTTGTTGGACGTCAAATAGATATCAGTATAATACATAATCCTAGAAATCAGAATCAGACTAAACTTGTGAAGATAAATTAACACCCATTAAAAAAAAAAATTAAAAAAATCAACTATTTTATATGTTTCCTCCACCAATCAAACTACTGACATCTTGACCAAAGAATTAGTTAGACACCTATACATGACTATTTAAAAAATTAATTGATAAGCTTGCTTAGTTGGATGTTTACAAATCAGCTTGAAGGGCGGTGCCAAATATTTTCATGAAATAAGAGGGAAAGTTTCTATTCCTTTCTAAAGATTAAGGGCAATTGAAGGCAAGATACTGGCGGGCCACATTCGAGGAGAAATCTTGGGATCCCTGCACAGCAAATTGCCAAGAATACCAAGGGTCCCTTGAATATATATGGCTGCTAATACACCCTTGGATAACTCCTATGGTTAGCAGTTTGAGCAAATTTACCAGGACTCTATAATATTGTTTCCTAGAGATTCCATCATCCATTATTAATAGTGCCTTTAAAGCACAATTATTGTCATATTATTTATTTTCTTTTATGGTTTATTACTTCATGACTTTACCCAATGTAAAACCTTATATAAATAAAGCCATACTCTGGCCGAATAGAGTATGGAACATTCAACATTTTTTCTCTCTATTTCTCCTCTACTTTCTTTCTTTCTTACATATTTCATATATAAAATTTTCATAAAAGAAAAAAACTTCAAATACACAAATTAATCACATTAAAAATTGTGAAAAATAAAAATAAATAAAATGTAAATGTAACCATATCTAGGATATTATTTAAGATATAAAACATGAAGGTTACCACATAAACTACTTCAAATATCAAATAAATATGTATGAAAATAAAATAAAACACATGGCTATCAACGAACTTGTGCCAAAGACAATGATAGAGGAGTAGATATTGATGTCAAAATATAGGAATCAGCATATCTATAGGCACAAGACCCCTTTAGGAAGTTAACTTAAACCAAAATACAACCATGTCAAAGATCGAAAGGAGGCCTCCAATTTAAATTACATTTTTATTTTTCAACAATTAGCTTGGTCCAATCATAAAGAGAAGCATCAATGTAGTCTAAGAAGGAGCGTCTGTAAAATGAAATAGAAGGAATGAAATTTCGAAGACAAGTCTTAGGTAAAAAAAAGTAGTAAGCGCATATGTATTAGGTAGTCAATATTCCTCTTGCAACTTCTTCGACGAGTCTATGGAAGAAAATGAATATGTAAAGGGAAAAAAAAAGAAATAGAAGGAATGAAATTTCGAAGATAAGTCTTAATATATTAACATCATATAGACATGCTTAACACTTGAATTGGAACATACTTCCTCCACTTTGTTCAACTTCACACGAATAAAAGGGAGACAGCCAAAAATGGTAGCCACCGAAAATCTAATAATATACAAATATAACAGTGCAAATAAAATAAATTCTGAAACAGTTTTTTATTGCTATAAACTTATACCAACAAAATCAGCACTTTTTAAGGCTCCATGAGAAAATAACTAATGCACTGATGATAATGTGATTTTTAATCACTGGGAGGAAAAAGAAATCAAGATTTTGAAAATCAGAAGGTGAAACTTCTAAAGTTGCAAAGAAAGCCTCTATAATCTACACAAAAGCATAAGCATCAAGTATTTATTTACAAGTAAATATCTATACATGAAATTCATATTAGGGGAGCTTCTCTTAAAAGTTCACTAAGCTAGCTATTTAGAGCAAGTAGGGTTGTAATCGAGCCGAGTATATCATAGTTCGGACTTAGCTTGGTATAATTACAAGTTATTCATGTTTGGCTTGTGCTTGTGCCGAGCTTTCACATATTGTTCAATCTTGAATTATTTAAATTTCTCAATGTTTAAAGTTGATTTGTACTTGATTTGTTTATGGCAAGTAAACGAATATTTGAACGTGCTAATAAACCAGCTAAAAATTGAAACGAGTATCTAAATTTTCATATAAAAAATTCACTAAATAATTTTACAAATCTGATCAACAACAACAACAAAACCTTTATCCCACTAAGTGGGGCCGGCTACATCAATCATTTTTCTCCATGGCATCCGATTTAGTGTCATATTTTCATTTAAATCTAATAAATTAAGATCTTTTTTTTACCCAACCCACCCATCCCGACACAAACACAAAATGATAAATAAGAGATGAAACATTGGATAAAGAGCACATTGAAATGCATACCAAACCCCCACCATCATCATCATCAAGATCACCAGCATTTGCACCAGTATCTTGCACCCCGGCCTGATCTGACATGGCTGATACCTAAGGATGCAGTGAAATAATGATGCGCATGCCCACTTGATTATCAAGTAATCCATATGTAAAGAACATGAAAATACATATATGGTGTGGCAACCTTGATTGTTCTTCCAGCAATCTCTAGCTGTCCATTAAGACTTTGGGCAGCTTTTGCATCTTCAAGACGTGCAAACTGAAGTAATGCGTTAAAGCATGTCAGCTAAGTAAGTTCAATAAGTCAGCAGTATTATTTAAGTAGAAAACTCACCTGAACAAAACCAAAACCTTTGCAATGCCCAGTTTCAGGATCAAGAGGCAATTGAACCAGTTCAACAGCACCAAATGGTTCAAAGACCTAAACAACCAGCTTCAATCAGTGAAATTTAAAGCGAAAATAAGAATAAGATGGCCACAAAAAGATGTTTTAAGTGTTATATCTCCGAACAATAACAAAAAAGTCATTCTTAAAATTAACAAACTGTATATTGTAGCCAGTATGAAGACATATTTTTGCATTCTGCTGCATTATCCCTCAATCTTTTAATCTCACTAAATATATGATTTTAAAAAAATGGATAAACCAGCAAAAGAACAAACACTTAAGTGAAACAACACAAAGAACATGGTAAATCAACTATGAAAAGCCCAAGTGAAAATGGAAAAAAGGGCGGTTTTGATTGTTTCCATAATGAAGGCATATAGCTAAACCAAAATAAATTCATAATTCAACCAATCAGAGTTAATCCCACTGATGAAAATCAACAGAGTTCTAAGAAATATAATTCTTATGGAAAGATTCTGCAAACTTTCTCCAAGCTAATCATTGGAACAATAGCACTTCCAAGTGAGAGGTAATCGTTCCAGATGACCATTGAGCCATAATAGCAAGCATCCGTGCGGAAAGAATTTGTTTCAACATAACACATAAATATCAGTTGGTAATAATTAACTTTAATTCAATACAAATTTTGATAAACAAGTTAGCTAGTAAATCAAACAGAAATCTTATTTCCTGATTGCAGAAGTAATCACAAGGTTAACGATAGGAAACGTTCAGAGTTGCATTATTCAGATGCAACGTCCAGCTTAATATACAAATTTCAAAGTTTTAAATATTTTTTACGTAGCACTAGTGGTTTCTTCAATGAACTACAAGGGTCACCATTGTAAAGTAATGGCACAAATATAAAACCAAAACAACTGAATCGCACTATGTGATACCCTAGTAGTCAACTTATGCAATGCACAGAGAACGACAAAAAATTGCTTCAGATAATCGATTGCTACAGATGTGCAGTAATGTAGGCATGCAAGACAAAAAATAAAAATATATATATAATCATCAGAGTGCTACTATCGCAAAATTATCCTTTTTTAATACCTGTTTCAGTTGATCTTCTGTCATATTGAAGTGAAGATTGCCCACATACAACTTTCTAGCTGTCCCAGAAAAAGGTCCACTAAGCCCACCTGCTCCTCCCGAAGTGGCAGTTGACTGTACCAAGTTCTTCTCTGCCTCGGATGGTTTAACCATTACGGGTTGACCAAGTAGCAGCTGGCCAGAGAGAGCAATAGCCATTGGAACTGACATAGCATCATAAAATTCAATGTACCTACATTTGGAATTAAACTATTAAGTGATAAATTTTGTAAAAAGTATGCTAACCCACCAACATTTGACATAAGCCCAATTGATTTAATTTGCATGCACAAAAGAACAACAGGATACACCATTATTGAAAATATTTTTAAGGAGCTGACAGACAAGGCACTAATTAAAATGCAAATGTAAAAGATAGAGGCATGACAGTATGAAAAATAGAACAAGAAATAATATTATTAGATATGTGTGACTTGTGTAGTGAGCAAGGGGGTGAAAAAGAGTTAGGGTTAAGACAATGTAGAACAAAATATGCACAAAAATAGGTAGAAAGAAAAATTGTGAAAGAATTAACAAGGAAAAACATAGTAGACAAAAATTGATATAGCTAGAAGAAGCACAAAACTTATGCAAAATAGAGTTAGCACCGTATGTAGCAATCCACATGATTGTAGCAGAAAAATGCATAAAGCCATTCCTAAATAACTGTGGCAATTGTAATAATTAAACTAAATAATGCATAAAAACTAGTTCATCAGAGAATGAATTTTCATTTTAGCATAACTTTATACAGCAATAATTCCATTAACAGAAAAATGAAGCACATATACTAACCACCGCTAGCAATAAGCTCTCTCAATCTGCAAAAACAACACTAGAAAAGAAACAAGTTTCCCTATTAAGACAATGAAACATACCCGACTCCCTTAGAACGCCTTGAATTGCGATCCATTATGAGGCGAACATCACGCACCTAAAAACAAAGAAAACAGATTTGGATTATTTGCAATATAGACTGGAAATCACAGTCACATTTTGAAGTTTAACTTACAAAAAGGTGATCCAGTGACACATACTGAACATGTAATAGAATTGCACCATAAGGGACCCTATATGATCGCCTGTCATGTTTCCAGTGCACCAATAAAATCTTAAAATATAGGTCTTGTTAAAGAAAAGCAAAAACCAAAACTAGAAAAAGGAAAAGCACATGCAAGGATTATCTACAAATTTGCAAACCTACATGCAGAACGACACAAACTACAACATCCAATTTAAGACCATCTTTTGGAGGACAATATCATAGCAAGGGAACTCTCACAAACCCACAAGTTAAGACCATCTTTTGGAGGACAATATCATAGCAAGCGAACTCATAGCAAGGGAACTCTCACAAACCCACAAGCTCAGCATAGTACTAAAATGGAAGGTTTAAAAGTACCATACAGGAACATCTGCACATTATCCACGAGAAGAACAAGGAGTATTGCAAAAGTCTTCTGTTTAGGCCCGATTTGGCTAAGAAAATGGGAACTGCAGCGCAGCACTTACCCTAACCTATAGAAATAAAAACCTGGATCACTCTTACATTTCTCAACCTTCTTTTATTGGATCGTATCCTTCTTTTATAGGATGCTATCCTCCATGTATTGCTTGATAAAATCTTATATTATCAACAGGATCTTACCTGCTCATCATCCGGCATTGAAATCTCAAATGTTGAGTTTCCCAACATCCACCAACCAGTGCATCTCCATAAAGCATAGCAACTCTACAACAGAGTGTTGGCAATCTTCTTAGAGCTTCAACTTACCATAATGGATAGGCTTGAGTTTCATTTACCCTCAAGTAGCTATATGCTCAAAAACCATAAGAGACATCCTATATTGAATTAATCTAGCTTGTGCCAATCATATCAGGCTTTATATCTCTACCAAGCATTCTATTGTATAGTCTCTCTACTTCTAATTAAAACTTCTGAATGCCTTACAGAAATCTCTTTGTTTTCACCATATCAGTCTCCTCTAGCTTACCATGTTGCAGCTCACTGTGATTGCGTGACAAAAGGACTTTGAAGGGGCTGGGCAAAACAAACCGCCAAAGGAAAACTTTTTCTTCTAATAAATTGTGATGCTGAGCCTTAGGGATATTGTGGATTGCACCACTAGAGTATAGTTACATGCTGAAAACTTCCATTTATGGTTACCCTGAAGAGACTGAAATGCCATGATCTTATTTAGTTAGGTGTCCATGGCCCACAAATAACCTCCACAAACGTTGAGGAAGAAGCTATCATGATCAAATAAAAATTAAAAACTCAAGAAGCTAAAAAAATAACTATCAGTTTGAAGAAACAGCTGAACCACCTTTTTTATCCAATGATGGTTCAAAAATAAAACTCCATAAGCAAAAAAAATGTAAATTTCATAGAGGAATACCAAGCTGCCCTTTTCTCCAATGAGTTTTATTTCAACGTCCATGGCTACTAATGGTGCATAGCATTAAGTCCAGGTATTAATTGCACCACTTCTCAACCACTTCCAATGGCTAATAAGGAAAGTAAATCATTGTATTAGAAAGGTTTAGGTTATATTTTTCCTACTTGTTTTAAGCTGAATGCCCTGTTGAGCGAATGGGTGGCTCACCTTTAACTTTGTCCTAATCCTATCGATAAAATCTCCACCATTCTCTTACTTCTCCACTTTTAATTCTTAGACATTATATTTGGTATCCAAACAATTTTTATAATGACATAAGGCCAGTATTACAACCGTTCATTAAGTTACAGCCTGGAATGAAGCATATGAAATCTCCAATCAAATGTTTTATATTCAAAGCATGAAAGAGGGTAAACTTCACTGATGACTGCCAAAAGCTTCCTCAAGCAATTGGCAGCGCACATCAACAAATCCAATAAGATCATTCCTCGTGTGGAAGAGCAACTTGAAGACAATGATGATGACAATCCAAGCTCAGCAAATACAATTCTGCATCAACCTAAAGTTTCACATGAAACCCCTCCACAAATAATTTAAACCATGGACCAATTACAATGCACAATAAAAAATTTGTAAAAGTATTCGTCAACATCCAATTTTATGGTAAACTCGATCCCAGAGCTTATAGTAATTGTATGATTCCCTTGAAACTTTTTAAGTGAAAAGATCGAAGAAAGAGAAGTAAAATACATTGTAATGAAATTTAAAGGCTATGCCTTAGGATGTTTACTGTTGCCTGAAAAATCATGTGCGAAGATATTATTGGAGAAACTGTGGTGAAAAGCTATTATTGTGCATAACTCAAAAAATTGTTTTTACTTATTTAATTGCATATTTTATATGTTTTAAAACAAGATCAAAAGATAGCCCACAAAAAATCACAAATTTGAAATTAATGGTTTGAACAAAAAAAATTCCCAAACTCAACAAAATTTGTTTCAACAACATAAGCATTTCACAGTCATTGATGTTCCACTACTCCATGGAATCCATAAGACTTTAGTCCATATATCGAATAACGGGCCTTAAGTTTATAACCAAGAAAATCATGAGCATTATGTCAATAATATAGTTCGTGATACTTCACATTTATCAAATTGGCAAACACAACCAGGGTTTCAACTTTAAAATCCAGAGAAGAAAAAAATGCTAGCAAAAACGATAGGTTTATAGAAAATTCCAAACACAAAATAGATACAGATTCAAAAACATAAACCTAGAACTTAGCAAAAGAAAATATCAGAAATTATAACAGATGATTTATAACCCACTTGGGGCCCATTCAGAAAATAGAATACATGATAAAGCGATCAAATTTCTAATAAAAAATTTAAATTAAAAAGTAAACGAAACAGCCAATAATATTTTTATGATTTATTTTTGTCTCTTTCTCACTCTTTGGAAGACAATTGCAACCCGCTCGTATAGGGGTAAGGTGTGGCATGCAGACATTAGGAGTAGGACATCATTACAATATATGTAGCGAATGTGATTTTACTTTAACCAAGATGGCAACTTTAAATTTTTGCATTTAAAAAATTACAGAACCCAGTTTTTTTATATGGAGAAATCAATTTATTTACTTTCCAACACAGCCTGCTTTAGAAGACCTAAAAGCATTTGCTCGGGGCTAGTGGTTGTCTACATATGTAGTGAACTCAATACTTTTATGAATGAGAAGGGAGCGGCTTTTAAAAGTATAAAACAAATGAAGACTTAGTTTGGTGTTTTTCTTCATGAATTAAAAAGAAATAGAAGATGGATAAAATTTTACTTTAAATTGATTTTGGTAAACCTCATACAACAAATTTCATCATTTAGAACAAAAAAAATGATCAAAGTTAAACTTGATAAACCAAAGAGTTTTAAAAATATTTAAAGTGGCTACACATGAATGAAGCCGATATCATTCCGTGCCAACTGGCAAGATGTATAAAAGGTTTGAAAGTAATCATCCACAATATAGCACATAAATGCTAATGGAAATTTGAAAGTCCACTCACATTGAAATTTGAAAGTATTTTTTATCATGTTGCCTTTGATGTGATTATGGGCATTATCTTCATTATTTATCTGTTATTTTTCCATATTGTTCAGATCATTCTGCAACTGTTTATCGTTAATGTTCTTGGTTGTCGTTCATGCTTGTTCGATATGTCACCCTTACATCACCTCTTAAGTTATAGTAAATTGTTTCCTATTTCGCGTAATTTTCATATTTTAGGATCATTGAATGATGCAAGTAGAATCTTGAGACTTGTAGAAAATCAGAAATTAAACATTGAAGAGTGAAATAAATTTTGGTTTCCACTCTTCTGAGTGTAATTATTAGAAGTGTGTTCTTTAAGTGCTACACCAGTGTGGAAACCTACTTCTAAAGTGATGGCTATCTTATTGGCGTGATTGCTACCCTCGTTATTATAATTTAGACGGTATAGATATTGGTTTTGATTGAAATTTTGCCAAATAAGATGCATTATGGTTTTCTTTTAAAAGCGTGAACTTGATTCGTTGTATATATCAATAATGTTTTAAAATTTTATAGTAAATATAACTATAGTAAAATTAAAATTTAACTCAAAAAAAAATGGAAAAAGATATTAAGATTAATGGTATTTTATGCCTTTTTATTTGTTTAGCACTAATAGTACATTTGTGTTTTAATAAATCAATTATTTTTAACATCCACTCGAAAATTTTGAATAATTTGTATTTTTCAACCTTGACAACATACTCATATTTAGTAACTCCACAATGAACATTGTGTGGTACTTACAAGAAATTCATGAAGTTTTGAGAAAGGTGAAATTATTTATTAACCTTTAAAATTGTTCTTTCACGTGTATCATTTTTCTGGGAAAATGTGGTCTCTTCTCAAAAAATAAAGGTGAATGAAACGCAGGTAAAGGCCATTATAGAGAATGGTTAAGAATAAAATTCATCACAAAGGTAATGAGATTTCTTATAGTGCATTTTAGGCGGCAGTGCAGTGGCGGTGCTACACCGCGGTTTTTTCTGTTTGACAAAACTGTATTTTGTCAATTTCTTCAAACAAATGAAGTTGAAAACTGTGTTGTCACCGAATCTAGCTAAGTGTGGTAGCTGCTAAAAAACTGCAGTCTGATTTTCTTCAAAAAACAAATTGTAATAGTCATCGCAGCATTTTGATCAGCAGGTTCTTCTTCAATAGTTTCACAGTTTTTTCTTCAAAAAACAAATTGTAATAGTCATCGCAGCTTTTTGATCAGCAGGTTCTTCTTCAATAGTTTATAGTTTCACAGTTGCTTTTTCAATCAGTTGCAGCTCCCTCAAACAGACCCTTAGACTTGTTATTTTTTACAATACATCAGTAGAAATTCTAGTACTTTAGAGGCCACGTAACCAATTTTTAAACAAAAAAGATTTTGAATGAACTAATCAATGATAGTTTTAACTAGCTTAAAAGAAAAACAATTGAAGCTCCCATACTCGATAAATTATGACTTATTTTAATCAAATATGATGCATTTAGGCTAGTCATGATATAGTTCAATCAAAATTAGCATCCAAGCATGTTTTTTCAGAGAAATTAATTAATGGAACTACAGTATTTGACATAATTTATGGTTGTTCGAGATTTACAATTTTGGCACCATTAGTTAATTCATAAGAATTTTAATTCAACCACGAAGCTTATCCTTAAAAAAAATTAAATGCTAGGAATGCAAAATGAATACTTGATCTTCTAGTATATACTTTAATTATTTGTCATAAATATTAAGTGTTGAGGACGCTAATGAACTATAATAGAAAGCTCTATCTTCTTATTGCTATAACTTTTAAAGTTCTTGCTTTTACATTCAATCGAATGAAAATAAGAGTAGTCAATATTTAACACTACCAACAAATGTGTGAAGAAAAATCAAAATTTTAGTAGATTTCATTTAAATGAACATAACTATGCTTCTGAACACGATCATTGTGTCTTCAAGTTATTTCTGAATTGCATCTTGGTGGCTAAATAAAATATGCTACTGAAAATAAAACTCATGCTTCAGCTTACCAGCATTACTATTGGCCAAAATAACAAAAAAATAATTTTATATAAAATAATGTCTCGCAAATAAGCATACAAGATAAAACATTGACCGGTATCAATAATTACTAATTTTAACAAATCTATATGAGAACACAAGTTTGATGTTTGTGGCAATTTACGACACGCAACAAGTTTATAACTCTATTCTTACTAGATCATTCTTTTCAAGAATAAATAATTTTACTCCTCGATGGAATATCACGATGCTTCTAATCTGACATTTGCCTTCTGCGCACCTTACCTTCTCCAGAATTCATCTTACTCAAAAACTTAAATCTAAAATATTAAAACAATACAATAAATTATTTAAGATAACCCGGGAAGCAATCACACTTCTAAACTAAAGTAACTCAAGGAAAAGAAAGCAATATATACGTTGGTATTTCATATTCCAACATAGAAATCATAAAATAACTTAATGTATGTATCCATGACATTTATTCAATGGAAATAATATAAAATTATATATGGATTAACTTTTATTTTATGGTTTAATCTTTAACTTTACTTTTACTTTATCATCTTAACATGCAATGTAATTCTACAGCACCATCAAGCATACCTAACAAACAGGTGACTTATATTATCTCATCGGTATATAGGTTAGTGCTCTAAATTACATGATTGACTGAGGTGGTAGGGTACTCATCTATGGCCAATTTTATTCCGCTGGCACAACAATTGGTGATTTAAGTTTCACAATTAATCTACACACGCTGGAACATTTGCATTCTTAGTCAGTGTCATAACGTGTTGAACTCCTCTTAACATGCACATACAAGCAAATATATATATATATATACACACACATTATATATTAAGTAGATTTTCAATTTAATAAAATTAATTTCGAGCAAGCTATTTTTCAAGTCTAAATAAATCAATTTAAATTTTAAGTCAATTAAAATTTGAGCAAATATCAAGCAAATTTTGAAAATAACTATCATCTCTATCGACAACTCATCAAATTTTCAACCAAAGTCAAAACACAATTTATTATCCACAAATTCCATCCCTAGCAAGAGATGTTGAAGCACAAAGTCAGCAAAGAACATCAAGAAATTTCAGGAGCAAGAAGGAATCTTCATGAATAGAATGAGAAGTATAAGATTGCTATTCACAAACATCCGTTGGTACTTGAAGTATAAATAAGGCAACTCAATGATGGTATATATTTGCAAGGAGAGGTTTCACACTGATACATACTACAAGCCTAATGATGGGAAGATTTGTCCAAGGCACACACAAGTTATATAACCATATTGGCTTTACCTTTTATATGTATGCGCGGAGTTGAAGATTTCGATGGAGGAATATTTTTGATGTGTTTGGCAAGTTGGTTAAATCGTATACCAAATTGGGTAACTGAAAGGGATGGTACTAGTAAAAAAATTCAATATACGGGGCACATACCAATATCATGGAAATCTTTTCTCCATACTCGAGGGCAAATTTTCTTGATGAAGAAGGAAATGATAATGTAGCTCCCCAATATAATATGGAGCTCCAATAGCCTTACAACCCAGCAGATTTTTATGAACACAATCATTAAATCCAAGTACTAATTGCAACACCTTTTGTTTCCACTTCAGATGGCTACCTAGGCTATATGAACACATGTATTAGTAAGGTTTAGGGATTGTTTCGTCAACCTTTTTCAATTGAATGCTATGTAACAGAGTGATTCATCTTTCAAGGTGACGACTCATAATATGATTAGATGCATACCCAATTTTTTCATGACATATACTCACATTCCAAAAACTAAAATCTCTCGTATTCTCTTTATTATCCACTTCAAATTTCTTAAGTAAATAACTATAAACCTCTTTAATATAGATTATCCTATGAACATGCTCTAGGATGAACATCATGGCTCTTGTAAAGGCTCCTTGAGTTGCTCCAATCAAAGCTTAGTAACTTCGTTTGGCCTGACGCTTGATTCATCAAGTACATAGCTTCGACCATGGTGTTCCTCTTTTGAGGATCTAACTCCCACATCCTGGAAATAAATCTATATGAAATAACCCTCTAATCATGTCACAAAATTAAAAAAACAATTTTAGGTCAATAATCATGCTTACAAAAATGATGTGTGTGTGTGTGTATATATATATATTTATATAAATATATATAAATGCATGTTGCTATATTATTGTGTGTGTATATATATATTTATATATATATATATAAATGCATGTTGCTATATTACCTTAGCTTAAGAATCAAAAAATGGAGAATGATATTACATAATTAGATAGAAAAATACACCATTTTTTATGAAGGTCAATTATCTATGTTACCCTCTATTTCTTATATGTGGTGATTATTAGCAGAGGTTAAAGTGAGATATGGAAGGTAACAGTGGGCAATTTTATAGCGCAAATCTATGAAGCATTAAATGTGGCACCATACTAACCTTTCCAGCCCTTGAGAAAAATTCATACACATCTCTTTCATCAGCTTTCAAGCAAATCTACAAGTAGTAAAGTGATAGAGACAATAAGCAACCAAATAAATCATCTATGAATGTAGAAAATCAATGTTTTATCCATTAAAGGAAAGAGCAATAACCTGATAAGCAAATACAGTTCGTTGATCTCGCTCTGGATCAGCCTCAGGCTCAGCACCTTCATCTTTCTTCTCTCTGCGCCTGACCGTCAAAAAAAAAAAAAAGTATTGTACCTCTGGAGTGCAAGATCATATAATTTAGTTGAAATACTTCCATGTAAGTACAGAAACTGGGAAAATCATATGAAACTGGGTTACTAAACATTTTTTTTTTTTTTGAGCAATAAAATATAAACCTCTCATTCTTATAATGACATTTGTATAGCATACAGAAATACTCTCCTCAAACTTGTAGCTACCAATATGCTAAATGATTCTCGTATGCTACAAAAAAACCAAGGAAAATAAAACTCCAGGGTTACAGAGAACGGCGTGGTCTGCACTACTGACGGAAGAACTTACACCAAGTTTTAGTATTATATAAGAACTCCAGATTAAGAGGTATCTGAGAGAGGATCTTGCATAAGAAATTCTGCCAATGCAAAGATCTGCAATAAACATTAAATTTATCGCTTATCATGTAAGTTCCATAAAGCAATGGAAAGACTAAACTAACAGATTGATCATTTTTTTTTTATATCAGATTGGTCGTTTGATTTGGCATGCTCTTTTGACAACATTACCATATTATATCCTCATTTTACTTGCTTATAAATGCTCAAAAATTAAGGAATTAACAGAGCATCTGGACTGCTTAAAACAACTGCTAGGGCTCCCGCTAATGCAGGATTTGGGAAAGGGTAAATAAGAGCAGCTTTAACCCATTATTCACAATCAGGTTGTTTTCGTGACCCAAACCTAAGACAACCGAAGATGCAACTTAACCACTATTCCAATCTGAATAAACCAACTTTATAATCTACTTTAATTAAGAACAAACAAAACAATAAAATATGTAACCAGCAATCTTTACTATGATTGTGCAATTTTATTAATAAATTGTGCTATTGCAACAAGCTTTTAGTTTAACACAATAAAAATCCACATTGGTTGACATAGTTGTAATTACAATGAAATGGGTAGGTAATTTAGCGATTAAGGGTTCATGGGTTAGTTTGGTGTAACTTTCGTATAAGTCTAAGTTGATATACTGAGACTGCAAAAGGATTTCACTGCTTCGGAATAGATTTCAGTAAGTTGGAGGAAGGGAAAAATGAATGTGAGCACAATTGAGTAAGCTCTGCCACAATTGACCTTGCACTTACAAAACCTATCCGATGGTGCATTACATGGCAATTTGTCTAGAACTTCTACAGCTAGAAAACCATCTTAATGGAGTCTACACTCTGCCACAATTAATCTTTGGATTTACAGAACCTATCTCTGGTGGTGTGTTCGGTGGAAGTTTGCTAGAAATTCTCCTGTCATCCACAGCTAGACAAGAAGCAACCGGAAATAAGTTGGGTGGTTTCCTGCAGCCTCTAATTCAAAGGTAAGGTAACGACATTGATGTTTCCTAGTCTTTATTCAAATTTCAGCCACGAAATGGTTAAGGAAAACAATGATTGCAATTAGATGTTGGGAAAGGAAAAAGTAGTAAAAATTTCTCGCAGCCCAATTTATTTCCAGATGATGAGACACTAGAAATCCTCCAAAACTCAGATTCTCTGTTTTTTCTCCTAACTTGCATTCTTCATGCGAGCAGTAATCTACCAATTTTCCTTTCTCATTTCAATGCAGGCTGATAAAATTTTCATGCCCTTTGAAAATATCAACAACAGACTTGAATTATTTATTTCATGATCAAAAATGAAATTCCAAATCGGATTCTTTGATTCTTACTCTTTCAATTTCATCTTTCCTTCATATTTCAATGCTAAACCATTGTCCATGAAAATTCCATGTAGGTTGTTGGAAGTTCAGAAAAACCTAAAATATTTAGAAAACAACATTTTGAAAAGAAAACAGGAAGCAAAAAAAAAACAAAAAGCAGCGGCAATTTCTAGTACAGGAACCGAGTTGCTGCTAGGAAAACATCTAACCACTAGATTGTAACTTGGAGATCAAGACAACTGTAACAGTTTGTAAAACATTGTTTCCTGGGTGACAACATTAGGAAGAAATATATTCAATTGTCTTTGGAGATTTCCCACATTATCAAGCGTGTTTTGGTACTACAATGTCAAGAACAAGGCCTTAACTAATCATTGCTCTTTCAAAAGTTCATGCTTTTCTTGTAGCCCTTCTCTGCAGTTTATCTTAATTTTAATAAAATTTTATATTTGGAGATAAGAAACTTTATCAAGATTCTAAAACCTTATTTGTCATTTTTCTTGAGCCAGTATTTGTTGTCAAGAGATATCAGAGCCATATGTTTAAAAGGCCACGTAGAAGAAACTGATCCTGCCAAACCCAAGTGTTGACCATGAAAGACTTACATCATGAAATCCTATTTGTTACAATTCTCTAGGCAACACCCTTAATTCAAACAATTAATGAAGCTCATTGGCTGTTCTTATAGATGCATCCTAGAGGGTCACGGAGAGCATGCCTAAGCACTCACAAAAGATATGAACCTTACATTGAAATTTGCTTAAAGAACTCATAATCTTGTAATGCAACTTGTTGAATAGTGCTATATACTCATATGAATAGACCCACAAATGCAGTTAATGAATAGATAACCAAGAGAGCACATTAGCCCATTTTGGCGATATAAAAACTATGTATTATTTATTTACATTTTCATTAAGAATCATCTCCTAATCATTTCTAATATTGTGCATTTTAATAGCCGTCCTTATTACTGCTATCTTGTGCATGATTATGCATTCTAGTCCCCATTCAAAAACTTTTGTATTTGAGATTTCTGTTTCCAAAATAAATGCATGGAAAGCTATAAAATAGAAAATTATCCTGTACAAAAGGCCCTACCGTACAAGATCTAATGCACGCTATTACATTCAAAACTGAAATATCCTTTGTTCTTTACTTATTCAGCTTTCAATCTTTGATGAATATAGACTGCTAACTCCTTGTTACATCTCAGTAAATCAAACTTTTGGTCACAGAATGCAATAAAATCACTACAAAGCAACTCTACATTTGCATTTTAAACATAAAAAAAGAAAAACATTTCCATAAACATCCTAAGAACCATACATCAGCAGCCCACTTCAACATAAGATGTACCTGTAAAACCAACTTCACTGCCATAATTTCACATAATGAACTATGACGTATACATCATGTGAATATGCCATTGATGATAGCCAATATCATCAAGTAAACATGATTAGGTAAGAAACAGCCCCTAAACTGGTACGGAGAAATAATTCTGTAGGCGTAAAAATAGCTTTTCCGAGGAATGACCACAAACTCAACAAAAACTAATGATGTGTTTTGATGCTGAGAAATTGAGTGAATGAAAGCGAAGATAGATTGGAAATTAGAAAATACTGAATCACAATATGCCCATAAATTATTAGAGTTTCATTACAAAGTTTTTTGCGATGATATGTTTGGAGCAAGCATTCTAACCCCAGACCTCAGATTCTTACTTATCGATTTAGAACTACTGCTAGAAGGTTTACAGCGTTTGGAATTCCAAAAGCGAGCTTTCAGGTTCAGAAAGAAAATATATCCAAGAGAGGACCACATTCCTCTCCGAACGGCTTCTGCTGCGTCTTCGCCGCTCCCGTTCTCGCTCCCGAACCCGGTCGCTCTCCCTCTCACTAACCCTCTTTTTGTCCCTCTCACTGTCCTTCTCATTTCTTTCCTCCCTAGGCTCCCTCTCCCTCCGATGCCGATCAGTCCCCCCGTGCCTCGACGACTCCCTCTCCCTATGTCCATCACCTTCGCCCTCTGATTTAGCCCGCTTTGATCGGTGATGGCCTTCGTCACGGTGCTTGGAGTTCGAGTTCCGACTCCGTTCCTTATCTTCGGATCTCGACGAGCTGCGTCCGTTCGCCGAGTCCTTCTTTGCGGAACCCAGATTCTCAACTGTCTTTTCCAAATACTCGTACTCGTCGAAATCCATCACGGCCTTGCAGGGTAAACAAGTTGGAACCCTAGATATGTTAGAGAGCAAAGCAGAAGAGAAATATGACGAAGGAACAACTTCCCAACGGATGCCGATTTGTACCGCACAGTGGAGTAACCTTTGGAGGAATATCTTTTATTTTCTTGTATATTAAACCCAAAACCCGTATGTTTTTTTAATTGATCAAGAACTATTTTAAATAAATTAAATAATTGACTATTTTCATCGGCTAACACTTTACATTTACCTTCTCATGTGCCCTAGTAGTCGATTGTTCTAGTTTTGGTTCCGCTGGTTAAGTAATTTGTATTCATTCGTTCATTGAACAAACGAGCTGAATCGGTTCATATTAGCTTAAAATAATTTCATCTATATATATTAATGAGAATTATTTAAGAATAATTTAATTGACTGCAAACTGTTTTTAAATAATTTAATTGATAAGGCTACAGAGATTTATAATCAATTAAAATTATTAATTAATAAAATAGAGTAAATATATATTAAATTCTTTTTAAATAATTATTTTAATATAAATAATATGATTTAAATCTCTCCCTTACCCTCAAAATCTTTTGGTTGCATGACTAGGTTATCAAAACGGCTCGTTGCTCGCAAACAGCAAGTGTTTGGCTCGCTGGCAAACAAACCGAACATGAACAAATTTTTTGAGCTCAATATATAAACGAGTCTCACAAACAATGGTATCTTTTAGCATGCTGAACACGAACCTAGTCTAGGCTCACTCAAGCTCAACTCATTTACACTCATATTTATCACTATCATTTAACATTTCATTTCTCATTTTTACTCATCTTTTTATTATCACTAGGGGGTGTGCATTATTTATTGTTCAAAATCGAAAAGTTGAACTAAGCGGAACAATTTTGGTTGATTTGATTCGGCTTTCAAAACCGCATTTTGATTTTCATTTCTCAAAACTTCAATATTCGATTATCGTTTATTGGTTTAGTTTTGAATTTCATTTAATTTAACAAATCGAAAAACTAAAATTTCAAAATTAAATGAAGGATTCACGGGATTAAATCAGTACTATACATGCAAAATATGTAATTCTTGATGTTTATTCATAACCTAATTCCACCTAGTATCTCAATTTTGGCTTTTTCAAAGCCTAACCTTTCAAGTCAAATTTAACATCAGTTTTATAAAATTTTGATTGGTTCTTTTTTTTTTTTAATTTTAGTTTTTAGTTGCAATCGGGATGATGAATTTGAAAATTGATCTATCCAAACCAATCGAACACTCGTCCCTACTTATCACCATACATGATCGTCATCTATGGGTCTAATAATCCATTTTCATTTCCTCCCACCATCGCCTGGACATGCTTCATCGTCCAACCCCCTCGCCACCTATTATCTCCAGATGCATGAGATAATCAATAAATAAAAATAATTTGCTAATTTATCTATGATTTTTTTTCTTGTTATATAAAAAAATTTTAATTTTTTATGCAAAATAAAATTAAAGTGTATATATGGCATTTTTTTATTCTAGTGTATATTTATTATTTATGGATTCATTTACTCATAATTTTTTGGCTCCTAAAAATAGTAGGTATAACAAATTTCATTGCTATAATCATATGCCATGAAACAGGTATCAAATAAATTTAGCGAAGTATACATTCAATTTGGAGAATATTTTAAGGTGCATGCATACCACAAATTCTTTTATATTTATATATCTAGCACCTAAACTTCTATATTTACATGCAAATCACTATAATCTTTAATATCACATTAAAAATATCAATATTACTTATGTTTTAAAAGTGAAATACACATTTTTATGTATAATTTTATGACACCAAAGTATTCTACATACAAATATGAAAGGGTTTCATGTAGGAGAGCTAGGGAGGGAGAGGTGATGATTGTGAGAACTAAGATTGTCTGTTTGTTGCAGCTATGTGAAAACAGCTGTGGGGTAGCTGTTTCTGGACAAATGATCGTTTTGTTTCTGTTTAATAATGGTGTTTGTAACATAACTGTTCTAACCATATATTATATACTTCAAAAGCAAAAATTCACTTTAGAACGCTACAAAAATCAAGAGAAACACTTCACGTAACAGTGAGCATTAAGTATGCTACAAAAAAGAAAAAAATTATCAAAATTATAATTAGTATTATGACAATATTGATTTGTATTCACTCATAACCCCAAGTCTCAACCACCCAATTAATATGTATTCACATCAATGCCCAAGCCACAACCATCAAGAACTCTAAAGAACAATAACAATGCCCAAGCCACACTTGTCATCCCCGACCAATGAAGGTAAAAAAAATTTCTTTCATAGAATTTACCAAAGCCATACCATCAAACTGTAGCTTCCCCATACCACCAAGCAAAGAAGGTCGAGCAAATTTTTTTTTTTCATAGAAAGCATGAAGCATGAATAACAGAAAAAAGAATGAAAATGAAACTGTAACAATAGTTTTCACAGTTACTGAAAGGTTCAATAGAAATAAAGAACAAAGTGTTAAGAAAAGTTAAATTAATTCCTAAGCCATCTTCACAAATGAACACGATTAACACATGCATAAATTTTTTACACATTATATATTTAGAAGCCGTGTGATCAAGTTGAACTCATGCAAAACATAGTGAGGTGTTATATAGAGAAAAAAATGCAGAATTAAGAACAGAGGAAGACAAAAATTTTGAGAATCACAAACCTGAACCAAACACCTCTCCTGCGAAATGAGTAGGAAGAGCAAGAGTCATGACAATTTCGTATAATCTCCTTCAAAAGTTTGATCACTAGTAGGTGGAATCCAGAGCAAAATGAAGAGACCAAAAGACGAAGGATCGCAGAGCTTTCCCTTCGCGTTAAAAGCTGGAGGAGGAATAGGGCGGAATCGAGGGTATGAGGTGTAAAAAGCTGATCAAGAAAAGCGGGATGCGGGGTTGATCTCATGACCTGCTTCTTACCCTCACCGCGCCACGAAGTCGCGAAGTCACCGCCCCAAATAGCAATAAATTTTGGCACCCCACTATGAAGTCGCCCTGCCGCCACCCCAAACAGGGCCTAAGTCTTGGCTAGGAGAGAGGGAGGGAGAAGTGGAGAGGAGGAGGGCTAGGTTTTGCCAATGGAATAGTAAGGGAAAGGAGGAAGAGGATGTCCTAGGATTTCAGCCAATCGAAGAAGAAGGAGAGAGAGAGAGAGAGAGAGGGTGACAAAGAGTTTCGACCATTGAAAAAAACGGAGAGGGAGAAGGTGACAGGGTTTCAACTAATAGAAGAAGGAGAGGGAGGAAGATGGTTCACATCACAAATTCACATACTTTGATGTTTTCCCTCTCGCAACTTATTATCTCCCGTTGTATGATATAATCAATTAATAAAAATTATTTGTGAATTTATTTATGATTTTTTCTTATTATTTAAATAAAATATAATTTATAAAGCAAAAACAAATTGAAGTGTATAGATGTTATTTTTTATTTTAGTATAGGTCTATATATCTTGTACTCATAATATTTTAACTCTTAAGAACAATAAGCATTAGAAATTCCATTGTCATGATCCTTTGGTAAGAAATAAGTATCAAATGATTTTAGTTTAGTACACATTCACTTTAGAGAATAATTTAAGGAATATGCATACCATGAAATTCTTATGTATTTATATATCTGACCACTAAACTTTCATATTTGCATGTAGAATACTTTGCTGTCAAAAATCTATGTATGAAATAGGGCAGTTCAAATTTAAAAAAAAATTAATATTGGTAATTTTAATTTGAAATTAAAGAATTAGTGATATGCTTGTAAATATAGAAACTTAGGTGTTTAATATATACATACATTAGAAATGAATGGTATATATGTGACTAACTCTATTTTAAAATGATATTTAGATTAAATAAATCAATAGTTAACAATTAAAATTAGTTGAAGATTAAATAATAGCCTTTTGTATTATTATTTTAATAAAATTCCAAAGGATAATTTATTAGTAGACAGACATATTGATTTTTGAATGAGATTTTGAGTAGAATAAAATTCATCTAATCATTGGAATTAATAATTTATAGGATAAGCGAGTTTATGATTTTGGTTAAATCCCAAATAGAAATGAATGCTTGTAAATATTAAGTTAAGAGTCTATTTTTTGCTTTGAATGAGCAATTGTGGACAATAAAAATAATTTATTTGGCTTGGTTGAGATGAGTAAATAATATTTAACTTAATATTTTTAGGCATAGTAAGTCATACTTAAAGAGCTTAAAGGGCACTTCATACTTCGGTGAAGAATTTTTATGTTTGGTCCGAGAAATTTTAGTGGTGAAAACTTAGAAAGATTTAATATCCTCTCCCCTACAAGATGAAATAATTAACTAGGATTAGCCTTTAAGCTTTATGATGATTATTTGTCTTTATGGTGCCTGATATGGTCTAATCTATCATCATGGCTTAAAGAAAAAGGCATCACTTGTAGTTTAAAAAAGATGATAGCACAATGATATATTTGATCAAGTTATATTTAGAATGCTCCTTAGTACATGAAAACAAGGAGCTACAACACAAATTTTTTCATTCATGTCTCTTTTAGATTTTTAATGAAAATTATGCTAGTTATTAATGTCATTAGTATTTTGCTAATATTTATAACTAGTTACACTCCTTAGACCAATTCAACAATGATAATTTTTCATTATTATTATCAAGTTAACCAACCATTTAAATGTATTTTTTATGGGATTTCCAATATTTAAGTAATATATTTACTGATTTAGACTATTAAGGATATATCTATAATATCTAATTTTACAAACTTATATTAATTTTTATATTCATAATATTTCAACTATGAATTGAAATCAAACTCATCATTTTTTTCTAGAGATTAAATAATTTAAGTTTTACTTATTATGATTGGACTATGGCATTTTAACACTGGGAAAGGTATGTATGCAAATTTAACAATTTACTAAGATACATTTCCACTCAAATTATATCTCAAAGTCTAATTCTTTTTCTTCCCATTGATTCAAATAGGTCATAAAAGACAAATTTTACAATTTTAAGTATTTATTTTATTATTTTTAATGAAATTTTAAACATAAAGCTAATTTTATAAA